TTTGGTCACTCGTTATGGTCCGCAAATCAGTTGCCAACGCAAGAGGTTAAGAGGGGTGGTGTATTCTGTGAATTGGCATCGAAAAAAAAACTGTTTCACCAATGCTAAGTCACCAATATTGGTATCATATACAGTAGTGCCCTCATAACTGACCAGAGTCGGAACTGAAAATGGACTCTAACCTCTTGCGTTGGAATGACGTGTCACGCACGTCGAGAATTTTTTGTCCCAAAATTGCAATATCTTCTCAGTCTCAAGTATATTTAAATACAACCCAGGCAAAACAAGTAATAAATTTATTATTTCGTAGTAATGATTTCTATCCTAAGTGGTATCATACCGACGAGTTCAAAAAGAAAGCGGCGAATTATTGTATACGGATTTTGGTCACTCGTTATGGTCCGCAAATCAGTTGCCAATGCAAGAGGTTAAGAAGGGTGGTGTATTCTGCGAATTGGCATCGAAAAAAAGAGTGGGGATGAGCGTCAACTGTTTCACCAATGCTAGGCCACCAATATTGGTATCATATACAGTAGTGCCCTCATAACTGACCAGAGTCGGAACTGAAAATGGACTCTAACCTCTTGCGTTGGAATGACGTGTCACGCACGTCGAGAATTTTTTGTCCCAAAATTGCAATATCTTCTCAGTCTCAAGTATATTTAAATACAACCCAGGCAAAACAAGTAATAAATTTATTATTTCGTAGTAATGATGTCTATCCTAAGTGATATCATACCGACGAGTTCAAAAAGAAAGCGGCGAATTATTTTTCCGACAGAAGACACTCCGAGGTTTTCGAAATAATTATCGAAATGAAAATATTTAGGATGGTATATCACTCGAGGGGATTTCAGAAATCTCGTTTGTTTGCAACTTGTTGCTCAAGACTATTGTAATGTAAAGAATTGCCCGAAATTGCAAGTAGTAGTCACCTTATATGAAATAAAGCGAGAAGATTTTCTTCTCAACCAAATCAAACAAACAAAGAAAAAAATATTTCTACGAAATCTCTATGGAAGGAAACGCGCAAGTTTGAAGTTCTTTGTTTAAGCCTAAAAATTTTGGCAAAATTGAATTGTACCCGAACTTCAAGACCTATAGCAAAAGAGAAATATAGTGACATAATGAATTTTAACTGTCTTACATACCTTCTATTCACAATAATTACTTCACTATTATTAATTGTCTTGACGAAGTAATTTACTTTTCATGCTTGTTTATTTATAAATTCATTTCTTAATAAATTAATCGATTATTCGTTCACTTACGTGTCTTCATCTTAATTATTATTTTTTACATTAAAGAATACATCTCGGAGAAGCCAAACTTTGAAATATAATATTTAAAATTGCTATTGTTTACATTTTTCATATATTATCATTAATATAAGTGGTACACGTCCATTGATTAACGTTTGCCAATATTTTTAAGTCGATTCAAACGCAAATCCTTAAATACCTCGATGTATGAATAAATGGATTTATACTACTTTCAAAAACAACGGCTCATATCATTGATCAATAACAGTTAATTTGTGGCTAAAGAATGTTATTAAAGAAAATTACGTTTTCAATTAACGAGAGTTCGGTCGATTTGTAAATGAAGAACGTTGTCACATGAAATTACGTTTATTATTCAATGAAAATCCTGTCGATTTATACGTGAAAAATATTGTTGGAGAAAATTACTTTATTAATTAATGACAATTCAGTCAATTTGTAATTGAAATCGCCGAGATTGAAAAAATATCATCGAAAACAAATTACATTATTAATTACTGGAAACTCAGCCGATTTGTAAATGAAACATATCGTTAAAAAGAATTAAAAGAATTATTATTAATCCTGAATGGAATAAAATTCAGCCCGAATGAAAGAATTACATTATTATTATTAACACTAAACGTACCGGCATTTTACATATACCTATCTTATCACATGACCCCTCGGCGGTACATATAAGGTATGCAAAGAATTTTTCTCGGTAAAAAATAAGCTAAGAGAAAAACAATAAACGAGAAATTGAATAATCAGATAATATAAGAATTTACAAAAAGTCAGATTAGCGAAAGTAATAACAACGAATATACGATTTTAAAGGTAAATTATGAAAAGGGGCCATTTGACCCCGCTTGGTACGTTTAGTGTTAATTAATGGTTTAGGTTAAGTTCAAATTAGATTTAGGTTTGCAAAACGGGAAAATGTTATTAAACGAAACGATGCCGTTAATTGACAAGAATTCGGTCGACTCGTAAATGGGAAATATTTTCAGACCCGGAAGTGTCATCCGCAATGGCCGACAACGAGAATACACGTAAAGAAGAATGTGATAATGGCAAGGAATATCCTAAAGACGAGAAGTGTCCGAATGACGAGAAGTGTCCGAATGACGAGAAGTATATGAACAATAAAGAATATCCTGATGACGGGAAACATTCCAGAGAAGAAGAGGAAGAAGACGAAGAAGAGGAAAAAGTCGGAGGAGAGAGATCAAGTCGAAGCAAACGGAGTATAATCGAACCACCACTGAGGCCTGGATATCGTAAAGATAAAACTGGCAAAGTTCGAAAAATCATTGCCGACGACGACATACTGCAATAGAGTTTCAGGTAAATTATTAAGAATTTAACACTAGAGTTCCAAAAATTAAATTACCATCAATGCTCGGCAATTGAAATTGATGACGATCAACGAGTATTAACGCTTGGCGTATTAATTAATAGGAAAATTTCAAGGCACGTTTCCAACGACACCAAAGGCGAAAGATTAAAAGTCAGAAGTGATATCAAACGAGATGCCAATTTGATTCAACCGCCGTATATAAATAATATTTATAACCACAGACAACTATCGTGTTATATTTAATTCGTACGATGATGGTTCCTGCACCTAATCTCGAATACCGAGCGACCTTCTGAACGTTCGCGTAGATCATTCTTAAACCATCGTGTGAAAGCGCGTTTCAACTACTGAGGTCCCATTGTCCCGCGGAGGAGGACCAGGGGCAAAGGGGGAAGGTGACTTTCGCCCCGGGGGTGAAACTAAGAAATGATAAGTGGCAGCGACAGCTGCGGAGGATGGGACCGGATTGGCCCTGAGCCAAGACGTGTTTAGCCACATTCCGCGAGCACGTGGGCCACTGGCCACGATTGTACGATCATTCCAGATGAATCTTATTACCAAGAAAGCACGCTTCGAATTATTATTGGCTCTCACTCGACTCTAGTCGTGGCGAAAATGATTTATAATCTCTGTAAATACGACATTTCCTGTGGATACGCAGACACAGTGCATTCTTCGAGATTCAAATGAAAGACTCTGTAAATAATAAATAAAGCGCAAGTTTTTTTTTCACTCTGACGGATGGAAATTTTCATGCGAATTTTAGTTATTGGTATTTGCAGAGTCTA